GAGTTAAGTAAATTTTCAACATCCCTCTTGAGGCTTTCCAGATATTCATAGGAAATTTAGTTTTGTGGTCTAATATTTTGGACACATTAACTATGTCACTGCTGGAGACACCCTAAGCCCATTAATGCTGTGATTCTTGCAGATTCCTGGCATTACTGCTTTAGTGGATGTGGGTAAGATATGGAAGAATTCCCTGAATTACTAGGCAAAATTTTTCACTCTTTCCCCTTATTCTCTGTGCTGGGATGCTAGAGTTAGGGGAGGAGTGATGTGGGCACTCCTCCATTGCCACTGCAGCTATTACTACTTCAGATGACATCTAAAGCTAGCCCAGTCTCATTCGAAGCCCAAGGTGACTGTTGCCTGGCTGCCTTTGACATTTGTCCAAAGCCCCAAGGCTCTCTGGTCAGTATGTGATGAATCTTTCTTCCCTTTTTAGTAGGGTGTTACCCTCTGGGACAAGGTGAATGCAGCAATGCCATCTACAAACTAAGACCTGAAATTAGGGGCTTCAACAGTCTGCTTGAGCTGGTGACCTCGTTGCAAAGCAAAGAACTCTGAACTTTACTTTCCCCAAGTGAAAGAAGAGTTTTTCTGAGCTACACTGTCTAGAGTTGTAATAGGCTTGACAGCTTTGCTCCAGCTTCTGTTCTCTCTCTGTGGCATATGAATTCCATGTTCACTGTTTCTGAGCCAGCATAGCCACTATAATTGCCCAAGGACTGCATCCCTTGTAGTTTGACTACCTTAGGAATTTATTCCAGCCCACAGGCCACTTTTTGTCAGCTGGTGGTGGGGTAGCTGGAACTCAAGTTTTGGGATAGAGGAGGCACCTGGTGAGATTGATTCTAAATGCTCCCTCTGTGGGAACCTGCATCATTCTGCCCATACTGTGTTCCCTTGTGACAGGGCAGCCTTGAGTTCCAGTGCAAAGTCTCATAATCACTTGACTGTCCCTCCCTTGGGCACACAGATTCTATCTCCACTCAGTCCACTGGTGTGGCACTACTAGGACTCATAGAATGAGTTGAGAAGTATGTCCTACTATTTTATTTTCTGGAAAAGTTTATGGTAATTACTATTATATCTTTGTTAAATTTTTACTAACTAGTGAAACTATCCTGGGCTGGAGATCACATTATGTGAAAGTATCTGATTGCAAATTCAATTTTTAAAGTTGACCTATAGTTGTTCGGATTATCTATTTCTTTTTGCATAAGCTTTTATAATTGGTATCTCTCAATGAATTTGTGCATTTCACCTAGGTTATCAAGTTTTTTGGTATAATATTCCTTTGTTATGCTTTCAAAGATTGTAGGATCTGTAGTGATACTCCTCTTTTTCTTGATGCTTGTAAATTGTGTATGTTTGCTCTTTGGTAATCCATCTGGCTAGAGCTATATCAATTTTAGTGTTATTTTCAAAGAAAAAGTTTTCAATCTAACTGATTTTCCTCTACTTTTTCCCTGTTTTATATTTCACTGATTTCTTCTCATATGTTTTTTCTTATGTTATTTTTCCACTTATTATTCTCTCTCTCTCTCTTTTTTTTTTTTTTTTTTTTTTGCAGGTTTTTGCTGGGGCTGGGTTTGAACCCACCACCTCTGGCATATGGGGCTGGCGCCCTACTCCTTTGAGCCACAGATGCCCCCCCCCACTTATTATTCTTTTTTTCCCAAGTTTCAAAGCTTAGACATTAGCTTATGCCATTGATTTCGGACCATTCTTCTTTTCTAAAATAAATTTTTACTGCTATAAATTTCCACTTATGTACTATGTTAGCTGTATCTCAAAATGTTGATAAGTTGTGCTTTAATTTTCTAGTATTTTCTCCTTTCTTTTTCATTCATACATTGATCCATGAGTTATTTAGAATGTTTTTTATTCATTCATTCATTCATTCATTCATTATTTCAGAGCATTGTAGAGGTGCACACATTTTGGTCAAGTTTTGAAATATTGGGGAATTTTCCAAATATCCTTCTGTTGCTGGTTGCTAATTTTTTTATTATGGTCAGAGAACATACTTTATATATAATTTCAATAATTTTCTATTTACTGAAACTTGTTTTGTGGCCCAGAATATGGATTCTCCTGGTAAATGTTCCAAATGCTCTGGAAAACAGAATGTGCATTCTGTTATTGATCATTAGACTTTTATAAATGTCATTTTGATCAATTTGGTTTATAGTGTTGTTAATACTTATTTTCTTTCTATTTCTTATAGCAATTATCTTGAAAGGTAATCCAAAATCTTGAATTCTAGGTGTATATATTTTTTTCTTTCAGTTCTGTCAATTGTTTCATATATGTTGAATTTCTGTTTTGAGTGTTGTGTTCATTTAGGATTGCTACATGTTGTTGATGAACTGACACCTTTATCATTATGAAATGACCTTTTTATGTGTACAAATGCTACTAGGTCTGAAAGCTACTTCATCTGATATCAATATAGTTTCATTATATTTAAAGTGTTATGACATATGGTTTTTAACACAATAACTAAGAAAATGACATGAAGGCTATGTTAACTAGTTTGATGAAAATATTTCAAATTGTATATAAAAACAGCACACTGTACCCTATGATAGTATTAATGTACACAGCTATGATTTAATAAAAAAATAGTATATATAGTTGGCTCTTTAATTTTTCTATAATTTTTTGTATAATTTTGTATAATTTTTTTCTTTTAATTGGAGTGTTTAGATCTTAGATATTTAATGTGATTATCTATAAGTGAATTTAAATTTAATAACATACTATTTGTTTTCTATCTATCCCATATTTCCTTTGCTCCCCCTTTACTCTCTTCTTTCTTCTTTGGGATTATTATATATAGCCCTTAAATACATTATTATTTCAATAATTATCTTTTAAATAAATATTACCTATAAAAAAACCATGTTGTAAACTTGCCTGAATATTTATCTTTTCTGATCCTATGGATTCCTTTGCTTAGATTCACATTTCTATCTTATATCATTTTCCCTCTTTCTGAAGGACTTCTTTAATATTTGTTATCACATTGCTTTTTTGGTGAAGACTGCTCTTAGCTTTTTATTTCTGAAAGCAGTCTTTATTTTGTCTTCATTACTTCAAAAATATTTTTTGCTATGTATAGACTAGGAATCTGGTAGGTTTTTTTTGTTGTTTGTTTGTTTGTTTTAAGGAATTTAAAGGTCTCATTTTACAGTCTGCTGACTTTCATTATCCCTGAGAAATTTTCTGGTTGTCTTACTATTTTTCTTCTTTGGGTAATGTTCTTTTTTATTTGAATATTTTGAAGATTACCTACAATAGGTTTTCAGCAATTTGATAAAGATGTACCTCTCTGTAGTTTTCTTCATGTTTATTCTCCTTGAGTTTCACTGAGAATCTTGGATATGTGTTTATAGCTTTTCATCAAATTTGGAAATAATTTGGATATTTCTTCAATTATTTTTTGTCTTCTTGCCAATCCTGCAGAATCTCAATTATACATAAATAAGGACGATCACTTCATATCTTCCACTTATCACTTATGCTGTGTACAATTTTTTGTCTTTTTTCTTCACGTTTTATTTTAAATTTTTTGGTCTTCAAATGTACTAGTCTTTTCTTCTGCAGCACCTAATCTACTGTTAATCCCATCTAATATATTTTTTATCTTTAGAAGTCCAACATGGATCTTTTTTTTTTTTTTTTTTTTTTTTTTTGAGACAGAGCCTCAAGCTCTCCCCCTGGGTAGCGTGCCATGGCATTACAGCTCACAGCAACCTCCAACTCCTGGGCTCAAGCGAGTCTCCTGCCTCCGCCTCCCAAGTAGCTGGGACCACAGGCGCCCGCCACAACGCCCGGCTATTTTTTGGTTGCAGCCGTCATTGTTTGGCGGGTCCGGGCTGGGGATTCGAACCCGCCACCTTAGGTGTACATGGCTGGCGCCTTAGCCGGTTGAGCTATAGGCGCCAAGCCCATGGATCGTTTTTATATTCTTCATTTCTCTCCTCATTGAAATCACGATTTCCTCTAACTTCTTGAACATATATATTTTATGTTTCTAGTAAGTGTATCTTTGCCTACTCATTTTTTTTTTACCAGTGTTGTTTTTTGGTCTATTTCTATTAATTCATTTTTCTCTTCACTGTTTGATTACATGAATACTAACTTTTTAGTGAGAGAGATACTATGATTTTATATAAAGTTTAGAATTTTTATTTTTTAGTATTACTTAAAATATTTGGGGTTTTGTTTTCAAGTAGTTAAGTTACTTGGAAACAATTCAATAATACATTTAACCCTTGCTTTTAAACTCTTGCAGAAACAACCTGCAATCTAAGGTTATATTCATTGTGCTGCTAAGGGAATACTCTCCTGTGGTATCTATCTGATGCCACCTATATCAGGAAATCTTTCCACTCTCAGTATGGAACACAAAGTATTACCATCCCTATGTGAGCTCCAAGGATTGCCAGACTGCTCCTTTCCAGGGGATCTTTCATCAGTCTTGATAGCTTCCTTCCTGAGTATACTGATCAGTATTTACCCAAGACTCCTGAGGAAGTCTCTATATATGTCCTGACCTTTCTTTATTTATGTAACTTTCTCCTATCTGGTGTTCTGCCCCACACATTCTAGCTTTCTTTGACAAAATTTACTCTAATCACTGTCACCTCAACTTGATGAAACTGCTAGAATCTGTTTTGCTTTCCTTTCCCTATCCTGTAACCAAGAAAATCTCTTCAGGTAGTGAGCAAGCCACTTGTCATTTGTTTACCTTCTCTAAGATCACTGTCTTGTGCTGCCAGTGGTCCATCAGGGCCAGAAGCAGAAGTCTCTTCCCTTTATTTTCTAGATAACAATGGTAGTAAATCTTTGTCCAATGAAAGGGGATTTTCTTTTTAGAAACAATTAAGTCATTCAGAGCTAAACTGGGTTAATAAGGGCAATCAAACTAGAGCAACAAAAAATGAATGATTTTTTTCATGCAGCCTATAAATCAACTCTTTCCTTGTGTATAGATATAGGACACAATATCCAATCCTAGGCCTTCTGTGTGATGACTATGAATATATACCACCAGGTAGTGACACACGGACTATTGTCATTGAGAAAACAGAAGACAAATGGAGTTGTGTAAGTTCACTTGGGCATTTTTAGGCCTATTTTGGCTATTTCTTAACTGCCTTTATAAATTAAGGTAAAATATCAAAATAACTAAAAACCTTAGAGTATTTTTTTCTCAAGATTTTCAACATTTCCATTACTGATACATAGTGCAAATTAAGGAACTCTGGAAAGATTCAGATGTAAGGTAATATAATTGATTATTTAAACTATATTAAGTTAGGATTTTACCCTAAAGACAAAGATTAACATTAGCAGTATCTTAATTTTATTTCCTTGCATATCTCAGGAGTTATTGAACTAATTGCATTCAAATTTTCTAAAAGGAAGTTTCCCTTTTTCTTTTCTTTTCTTTTGTGTTTTTGTTTTTTTTTTTTTTTTGGTTCCCAATTGGTAAATATGCTAAATTATATTCTCAAAACAGAACACAGTATCTTTTTTTAATTGAAGAAGAAATAAATTTCTAAAATGTTAAAATACTTAGCTGAGAAAAATTGTATGGTCAAGGTATACAGCATAATGATTTGGTATATGCTTACCTTGTGTAATGATTACCACATTCAAATTAATTAACTTAGCCATCCTACCCATGATTATCAATTTGTTTTTATTTATTTATTTTATTAAATGATAGCTGTGTACATTAATGCAATCATGGGGTACAGTGTGGTGTTTTCATATACAACTTGAAATATTTTCATCAAACTGGTTAACATAGCCTTTACGTCATTTTCTTAGTTATTGTGTTAAGATGTTTATATTTTACTTTTAGAAGTTTCCCTTTTTCTAAAACAGGTAGAAGATGTCTTATACAATAATGACGGGAAGTGGAGGTGGAGAGACACATGTTTTTAATAGAATTTGTCTTATAATCTTGAATGTGGTTATTATTACTGTGGATTATATTTTTTAGGATTTTGAAAGAAGAGGCATTTCTTTCCCACTAAATTATAAGATAGATACTCCAGCTTTAAATTCCACAGTAATAACAAAGCTGCTGAAGAGCATGTTGTATTTAAGGTACTGTAATATCTACCCTACCTTCTACAACATCCTCTGAGATGACCAGGTGATATAAACCTTAGCAGTTTTCCAAATGGTCCAGTCCATTGCTAAGGATTAACTTTCTTTTTATGAAGGACTGAAAGCTACTTTCCTAAAACTTTTACTCATTGACCTATTAACCTTTAAAGTAGTGATCATGAAACAGGGGAGACACAGTTGCGTCTCAGTATCCATTAAATCGATATCTGCAGTTACTCAAGTCTCTGTGTAAAATAGCATAGCATGGCATTTTTTATAATCTATGCAAACCCTCACATATACATTGAATCATCTCTAGATTACTTATAAGAGCTATCACAATGCAAATTTCCACACATATTTAGTAGTTATTATACTGTACTATTTGGGGAATAATGACAAGAAAAAAATAAGTCTGTACATGTTCAGTACATACACAAATTTTACCCAGATATTATTCATTTGTGGTCAGTTTTCATCTTCTGGGTCATCTACAGGTATAGAATACATGGACACAGAGAGCTGACTATATACAGTATATGTATATTCCCTAGCATATTTGTTTTCTCCAGGGGCAATTCTGCCACCTTTGAGATATTTAGCACTATCTGGAGAAATTACCAAGTGTTTGAGTATTATTGAGTATTATTAGTGGGTATTATTAGTGAGTAGTATTGAGTATTATTAGTGGGTAAAGGCCAAGGATTGTGCTAAACATACTATTCATTGTTCAAGACAGTCCTCCAAAACAAAGAATGATTTAGCCCAAAGTATTAATAGTGCTGAGGTTGAGATACTCTTCTAACAAAACAGAATGTTCTTAAGTTGTTTTTCCTAATTATATACTCCTGCACTACTGCAAGAAATTCTAATGGCAATCCACTGATAGTGATCATAGGAATGTATGATATATCCTCAGGTACAATAGACAGAAAAAAGAATGAGAATCCCAGCTCTTAAATCATACAGAATCTAACTTAAAACATTGTGAAAATGAAAACATTTAATTTTTTTTTATATTAGAATGTCCTACATGTCAATCACCTTAAGTACTAAAATTAGGCAAAACTAACTACAGTTATTGAAGAAAGGATTATTCCTGGGGAGGTGTAATTGATTGCAAGGGAGCATAAGGAGGGCTTCTAGAAGGTATTAATAATGCACTATTTCTTTATCTGGATAATAGTTGCATATGCATGTTCAGTTTGAGAAAGTTCATTTAGTTGAATGCTTAAAGTATGACCATGTTTTCATGTTTATAATACATCAATAGAAGTCTTAGATGCTTATGAATATTATATGACCAATAGATAAATATATAAATATCAACCAAAGATTCTGTAGAACCTTTTGAAGAAATTTTAATTACACTTCAGATGCATAGTTAATAAGATTAAGCATCTGTTAAATAACTCATTTAAAAAAGTACCCATAATAATTAAAATTAAAAAAACATCTTTTGGTCAAACTTGCTCAAATATTTGAGTAAACAAAAAATTCAGAAATTTGTTATCCCTTCTTTAACTACAACTAAGCCATCAACCTTGAAAATATGGTTATTAATGGAAGCAATCAATGTTTAATAATCCCAAAATAAGAATAACTGAGTAATTTAAACTTTGATATATGTTGTTTTTCTTAGGTCAGTAATTAGTTGAAAATTACTTATTACTAATTTGATAATAAAAGTGAATACTGAGAAGCAACTGCAGCTACTTACCATGGGTACCCCAGAGTTGGCACCAGTATGTGTACTGCCAAAGAGTATAGAATCAGTACTATTATTTCTCTTTTCATTAAAAATGTGCATCAATAAACATCAAACTTGATATGAGTCTGAAGGGACTATAGACACTGATAGGAAGTTCAAAATATATTTAAGTTCACAGATGATAGATCCATATTTATTAACAGAGTTTTGGGCATATTTAACCTCTAAATATGACATTAAAGAGAAATCAACATAATCTTCCTTCCCTTCTGCTTAAAGTTATGTGAAATACATACCTTGACTAAAATTAGGTATATCACTGTTTCATTAAATATGCATATAAAAGAGTAAACAAAAGTTGAACACATACCACTTGATTTTATACATGTCAATTTAAATAATTTTCTCTAACTATGTACATATAATAACAATGTCTTAAATTAAAAACCAGTTGTAAGATAATTTTTTTTTTCTTTTCTAGCCATGAATGAATCCACTTTCAAGTATACAACTCAAAGGAGGATTTTTTGTGTCTGCATTAGTATTTTGTTATTTTTCCATCACCAAATGTCAATCAAAATTTGAACCATGGTACTTCTCAAAAAATCTAATGAATTAGTTCTGCAGATGACAGTTTCTCCAGCCATTTACGAGACCTGAATCCTTTCTATAATATCTGTGTATTCAATATAACAACATATAAACAGAGAGGGAAATGCTTGTTTAAACTTTGACTGCAGATACTGTAGAACATAACCTGTTATTTTTCACATAAGCTGTTTCCTGGATACTGAATTAATTCATTAGGGTAGAAATTTTAACAATTTATTCCATTAGAATATTTTCTCTGATATTAGATGTGCAGTTCACTTTTTTTTTTTT